TATCCTATATAAAGTCTAAAATATATTACTAAAACTATACTACTATAATTATAAGGAAAGCCTTAGGAGCTTAGCCCCTATAGGAGGTAAACTTATCTAGCGCTATTAATAAATACTCCTAGAGGAGGGGCTTATTCCTATCCTTAAGCTTAATATTATTAATAGCTATAGCTTACTTTAAATTAATTTAGTAGATTATATAGTAGAGTATATAAATAGCTATTTAGATCTCTATCTTCTTATAGTAAAGGATATACCTTAGGTTAGAGAATATAAGTACTAATAAGTTTATAATAATATTATAGATAAAGTAGTAAGTATAATTATCTATATTTATAAAGAACCTATTAACCTATATATATACTTTAAACCCTACCTACTACTATCTAAATATATAGAATATGCTTATAATATTAGGGGCAGCTTAGTAAGTTAAAAGCCTATCTCAGTTAGTAGGTATAATATAGACCTACCTATCTATAGATAGGTTAGCTAAAACGCTAAGAACTTTATTAAGAGTATTAATTTAGTACTTATTAATATAGAGGCTAGTAATTTACTTAAAATATAAAATATTAAAGGTATCTAACCTCAGCTTTATATAGCACTACTACGTTATAATAGGCTGCTATCTCTAGTAGTTCTATAATATAATAAGCCTCTATATTAAGAAATACTTCTTACTACTAAAGTAAAATGCCTTAATAATATACTAATCTATAGTAGCATCCTCTCTACTTAGCTATCTATCTGCCTACCCTCCTATATAAGTAATAAACATAAGCTATATTAAGATCTACCTATAATTATTAAGTAGGCTTAGATTATACCTATTAATATAAAGCTTAATATTTAAGTTATATAGTAAGCAGTCTTTAGGTTTCTATATTATCTATTAGCCTCTTATAAATATAAGCTTATACCTTAAGCTTAAAGGCTATACCTTTATTATATAGCTTATATACCTACTATAGGTTAGAGCTTAATATACCTATCTCCTTAATATACTTATAAAGCGCCTAGATATAGTGCTAGCTAGCTATAACTTTAGCCTTACCTCTACTTACTTTAGCTTAGTATAAAAAAGAGAGCTTATAAGAACTATTATTCTTATTATTATTATCCTCTTTATTATCCTCTTCTCACCCCTCTATACTACTACTATCCTACTATATAAAGCTAACTACCTTAATACTATAGAGGATAGTAATTTAGTTCTCTAGCGCTTACTATTCCAGCCTACTACTCCTAAATATATATAATAGCTCCTAGATATAAGCTATATTAATAAAGTAGTTCCTATTAATACTTTAAGCTATATCTAGCATAATAATAAGTATCCTAATAATAGTAAAGAGGAAAAGTTATACTTATTCTTATATAGATAATATTTCTATAAAGAGGGAACTAATCTTATCTTCTCTCTTAGCCTAAACCTACCTCCTTAGCCTTAATACTAATATTACTATTATTATTTTCTTATTATTACCCTTATTATACTTCCTCTTCTACTTATTACTAAGCACTTTAGTTATTATAATAATATATAATATATTTTTTAACTACTACCTAATAGCTTATACTAGCTATTCCTATTATTTCTTTATTAATTTTTTTATCTTTCTTACCCCTAGAGACTTAAGGATAAATAGTTAAGGAGGTAGAAATACTTCTAATTAGATAAGATATATATATAAATAAAATAGGAAGATAAGATAATAGATATTTAAAAGGGGTATATATTTAGTAGAGTAGCTAAATATAATTAGTCTAAAGCTACTATAATATATTAATCTTCTATATTTTTATATACTAAGTAGGGGATAACTATATAGTAGAAGGAGCTAACTTACCTTATTATAGTTAGTATATTTATATTTAATAACAGTAGTAGTAGTAATAATATAACTAACCTTAAGTTATACTATAAAATAATAAATAGATTAAGTATTAGAATATACCTATAATAAGTAATACTATAAATACTTATATATACTATTAGTTACCCTCTAGATAAATAGCTATCCTACCTCTATAATTACACGCCTTTTATACTTAAGATTAGTACCCTTAACTAGCTAAGTTACTAGCTATACTAGCTCCTAAGACGCCCTAGGTATCTAATAAGTTTAAGGTAATAAGGATAAGCTATACCTACTTATACTATATATACTCCCTCTTATTTTCTAATTAAAGAACACCTCTAAAGAGAAGTATTAAATATAAGGTCTATTATAAAGTTAGAAATACCTTCCTTAAAGCTGAGGTATTATAGCCTAACTTATATATAACTATAACTAGAAAGAGAAGTAATAATAATCTAACTACTTATTTATATATAATAATATATAGATATATTTAACCTATAGTATAATATATCTTATACTAACCTTTACTCTTAGATCTTATCTAAGTAGTAATATTAATAGTTATACCTTATAGAATAATAATATTCTAATATTATAATAAAATTTCTTAGAAAAAATATTACCTATTTATATAATAGCCTATTTTACTTATTTAAGTTCTAGATCACTTTAATCACTCCTATCTAAACTATCCTATCTACTCTTATCTTAAGTAGAACGTTATATATAAAGCTATTTATAATTTACTTTCCTAAATTTATAATTTTATAATAATCTACTTAGCTAGTTAGATACTTAACTAGCTATTATATAATTAATAGCTATTAAGCTCTAGCTTATTCTAATAGAGTAAGTTAAGACTAATAAAGCCTTAAACCTACTTAAGGTCCTCCCTTAGCTCTCCCTTACCTATTAATAATAAATTTATACTATCTAAGTTATATATCTTACTATATACTATAAATAAATATACTTCCTATTACTTTTTATAAATATCTATATACTAACTAAAGCTTTATATAGATATCTACTTACTAATACTCTAATATACTCTTTATCTAAGATAATAGAGTTTATAATAATTTATCCTATAGTTAGCTAGCCTTCTTATCTTACCCCTACTTTAATATATTAATCTTACTCTTAACGTAATATTATATACTAATCTACTTCTAGCTAAAGTCTTACTTCTTATAGATAAATACACTTAGACTAAATATATAAATAGCTAAAGATATCTAACTTTCTTCTATCTCCTATATATCCCCTATTTTCTCTACCCTCAATCTCCTCTTCCTCTATTTATCTATTTATCTATTTATTAGTAAATATATTTATTACTACTCCTATTAAAGCTATTTATATATATTATACTCCCTATTAGCTAGCTCTATATACTTACTAAGATTATTATTCTATACTTTATACTATCCTCCTCCTTCTAAAGATTTTACTATCTTTTAAATAATTATATTCCTCCTCTTAAGATAGATAGGACTAAACTAAGTAGTAACTTATATAAGCTCTAGGAAAGCTATATAGATAAGTATATCTTTACTTAAGCACCTATAGGGGTTAATAATAAAACTAACCTACCTAAGTATCTAGATATTAATACTAAGGAAGATATAAATAAGTAAAAGCATAAAATCTTTTATACTTTCTAAGTAGACACTATTAAATAAAGCTTTATAAGAAGCTATTAAACTTCTTAGTATTAGCTAGTTAATACCTATAAGGGCATAATACTTTCTATACCTCTAAAAGTATAAGCTAATTAATACCTCTAATAGTATCTAAAGGTATAAGCTAGTTAATACCCCTAAAGGTATAGCACTTTCTATACCTCTAAAGGTATAAGCTAATTAATACCCCTAAAAGTATAAGCTAGTTAATACCTCTAAGGGTGTAAACTAGTTAATACCCCTAATAGCATCTAAGGGCATAAGCTAATTAATACCCCTAAAGGTGTAGCACTTTCTATACCCCTAAGGGTATAAGCTAGTTAATACCCCTAAGGGCGTAAGCTAGTTAATACCCCTAATAGCATCTAAGGGTATAAGCTAGTTAATACCCTTAAAAGTATAGCACTTTCTATACCCCTAAGGGTATAAGCTAGTTAATACCCCTAAGGGCGTAAGCTAGTTAATACCCCTAACAGCATCTAAGGGTATAAGCTAGTTAATACCCTTAAGGGTATAGTATAGCACTAATTCCTCTATTAACTTCACTAGCTTAGTTCACTACTACTACTATAACTATCTATTAATCTAACTGTCTATCTTAATACTTTATATACCTATACTATATATTACTTCGTTAAAATATTAATAAATATATCCTGTTTTTTTTCGTTTTGCCTAACCCTACTCTAGCCTAACCCGTCCTATAGGGCCGCGCTACTAGTATACTATTATAACGTATTAATCCCTAGCTTCTATTAGCAGACCTTACTGTTAGATAGCTAACTGTAATAATAACTTAGTATACTGTTATAATATGTTAATCCCTAGCTTCTATTAGCAGACCTTACTATTAAATAGCTAACTATAACACTAAATAGGTAGGTTAACTGTTATCTCTATATAATAGGTTATAATAATATATATATAATATATATCTAAGTTAATTTATTAAATAATAAACTTATATTAAAAAGGAAACAGCTAGAGGAGTATTTATATATAATTTAAAAGTATACCTTAGTAGCAAGAGAAGGTATCACTAATAACCTCTTTTTGCAACCCCTAGTTCTTTCTTTACGTAGGGAAATATATAACGAAATCGCATACTGCTGCCTCTCACATAATAAGGTTAGTACTTTATGCAACTGTTATGTCTAACTAGAAGAGCTGTTAAGGCCTACGTTAAGCTAATCCTATTCTATAGCATGAAGGCAGGGTTTAAGGCTCGTGACAAAGCTGCAATTACGCTAGATGTCACTAGGCACCTGTCGGGTCTTTAAGTGAAAACTGTCCGGCACGCCTAACACACTCTTTAAATCTTTGTTTGAACGTAACTGATTGCCTTTAATTAAATATGCCTAGTGCGTTTGGATTTATATGCTTCGAAATGAATTCTTCTCACTCACAGCAATCATTTCTGCTTGCATTCATAAGTGACTGAGCCATCATGCCTGAGGTTATTAATGTATTGCAGAAAAGTCTGTCATGCTCTCAACATGTATCGCTTAGGATTGAAGACTTGTTCTCAGTGCGTGATAAGGTCGTCATCGTCACGGGCGGTGGTTCTGGTATTGGGAAGTGTATCGCGCGGGGATTTGCACTCAATGGGTCCCGCGTTTATATTGTTGGCCGACGCTTGGAGGTTCTGCAAGCTGCTGCTGGCGAAATAGGTGGCGATATACACGTACTGCAGGGAGACCTTGGGACTAAGGCTGGTTGCGAGAAAGTGACGGAGCAGGTGAGGGCGCACGAATCTCACGTAAGTTGAAACTTGTTTCGTTCACACCCGCATCAGTTTGGTCCTGTGTCCGTCGCTGCTAACCTGCTTCTCTCGTTCTAGATTGACACCCTCGTCAACTGCGCTGGATTGATGACCCTCTGGAAGGTTTATGCTAAAGATCCAGATAATGGTAAGCCTACGGAACCCTGACGACATCCACGCTTCACCTTCAGTCCAGGGTAGTGGACAAGGTGAAGATTTCTATGCGAGCGGCAGCTGATTCCATTGCTGCATAGCCAACGAGGTAGAACGCATGCTGCTCGATGGCATCGATGAGTAAGTGGATGTATTGTGGAGGATCAAGAATGTAATGCGCTGATTGTACAAATACAGTGAAGATTTCGATGCGGCAAATCACAGTAAGCTCCCATGAACAGCTTAGGATACATGTAGGGTTTACGTGACGACGGTTCCAGTTAATGTCCGCGGAGTCTACTTCATGACGACATGTTTGGTTCCATTGCTACGAAATGCTGCTACTCCAAACGTTTTAATCATATCGTCTTTAGCCGCTTTGACAAACCAAACGTCTGTGACATCAGTGGCGTACGATCTCTCAAAGGCTGCCGGTACGTTCCTAGAAGCTCCTTCCTCTTATTACCCTCCGCCAATTGGAATTGGTCTAACTTGCTGAAACAAAACATTTGACACAGAAACCAAACTTGCCCTGTTGCTGTCATCCGGCCTTCGCCCGTAAGTGTGATTTCGCCTTCAGGCGCCCCTACGAGTTTTGGAACCTGAACATATTTTCACGAAAATTCTTCACGCAGTATTAACTCGTATCTTCATAGAATGAAGATTCGCGTGAACACAATTTGCCCCGGGATATTTCCTTCAGAGATGACGACCTTGGCATCTCACGAGCGTAAATCGCCAGTCCTCACCGCGGACACAGACCAGGTCGGGTGGGGTCTGCATCCCGTCGCAGAGAAGACAACACTGCGATCAACTGCTGGACGCCCGGGCCGCCCCGAGGAGATAGTAGGGCCGGTTTTGATGCTCTCAAGCGCGGCTGGTGCATATATGAACGGTGCTAGGCTCGTTATCGATGGCGGACTTCTTGTCAATGCCTTGAGCTAACTATTGAGGCTGGAATCATACGCACAAGTAAAAATGATTTTCTCAGTTATCTACGGAGGTTTCATTATTATTATCTTGGTAGGAATGGATTCTTTTCGGGATTGCTCGCTAGAATCTAAATCGGAGGTTTTCCTTTATAGCACGCCAAATTACCCGATCAGGGCATGACGATTCCTAGCAGCGGGGCAGCATATCAGTGAAAGCTACTTTTCTTTCTTTTACTTGATGAAATAAGTTTATATCTTCCGTCCTTTACTATCAAAGATAGCTTATAGGAATTACTCTTTAATACTTCCTCTCACGCATAACACTGACTGGTATGTTTGTTTCACAGGTCAAAGAACTTTAGTCCACTATGGAAAACGCTTCATGTCCCGCCCCCCAAAGAGGTGCCGTGCATTCCGCCTGGGCCACTATGTCAGCTCAATCACCAATATACCTACTTCATGTATTACCTATTTGGCCGTACATGGCCTGTATTACTGTTGTAGTTTGGCTGGTGGTAACGCGAATGAGTGCGGGTACAGCCAAGTGGGATTGGAAGTTTGACTGCCCCGAGGTCCCAAGAGACGGACCAAATCTTGGAACGACTCTTAGAAAAGGTCTTTTACAGGTGTGTCATTGCATCAATACGGCGTTTTCGTGTGGTGTCGTCGATAACACGCAGAAGTACCCCGACGAGCCGTTCAAGGTTATGACGGCAGATGGCTACGTCGTCTTCTTGCCCGCCCGTCATATTCAGGAACTTTGTATGCACCCCAGAACCGAGGTTTCCTTTGGCCACATGGTTTTGCAGTACTTCTCGTCATGGGCCACGGGCTTTGGTGTGAATAACGATACTTTTCTCCGAGGCACCAAGCTGGGGCTCCTATCAACCGGTTCCCGCTTTATTGTGCCCATGATAGATGAGACGACAGCGGCCTGCTCTCGAATATTTGATGGTCGCGATCGAGCGTACAGTAGTCCCAATGAAAAGGAATGGACATCCGTCAATGTCAGCTACGCCGCCGGGCAGCTCACAGCACAAATCATGGCTCGTGCATTTGTGGGCAAGTCTCTTTCTCGAGACCAATACTGGGTCGATGGTCAAGTATCCTACTTGGCCTACGTATGGGCGGCGGCTCGGGGTATCCAGAAATGGCCGAAGTGGGTGCAGCCGCTGGTATACCGCTTTGTCAAGGGCTACAGAGACTTACGAAACGAGGAGAGACGGCTTGCAGACCTCCTGAGGACCGAGTTTGACGTGGCTAGATTAGGAGACGACCTCAGTGAAGCGTGCAAGATCCGGGAGCGGACCATGATCGACGACTTTCTGGCCGTAACAGACCCAGGCAAACAAGACGATATCGTGTTTCACATGACACTACAGTACCAGCTTATTTTTACCGCCATACATCCAACTTCAGAAACTGTTTGTTCTTCCTGTCTCGCTTGCATGATGTCAAGCTCTGTTACTAATGTGGTGCTGTGGTGGTCAAGTTGTGGCAGGTCCTTTACGACATTGCACTCTACCCCGAGTACCAGGAAATTCTAAGAAACGAACTAAAGGAGGTCGATCGAACAGATGAAAGAAGTTGGCTCTCCCAGGTTCCGAAGATGGACAGTTTTATGAAGGAGTCCCAGAGGCTCCACGCCGCTTCCCTCGGTAAGATTTACACGTGCTTCCAAGAGGGAGAGAGAATCCTTCTCTAACTACCCTTCCGTCCTCAGTAACTTTGACCAGAAAGGTTCTGAAACCGATGACTACTTCATCGGGGCTTCACTTCCCAGCCGGGTCTCAAATCTCATATATGACGGACGCCGTGAATCTCGACCCTAAGAGGTGGTCGGATCCTGAGAAGTTCGATGGTCTAAGATTTTACAACATGAAAATGGATGTTGAAACCGAATCTCAGCAGGTAACGCTGAGCTACTCGTACTCAGGGTTGTAACATTTCCTTGCCTGTCCGCATCCTTTTCCAGGTCTTGGCGGAAACAAATGGCTAACAGCGCTTTTTCTCATAATAGCCCGGGACAGTTGAACTTTGGCTACGGCGTGCAGGCATGTTGCGGACGTCACTATGCAGGATGGCTCATTAAGATGATCCTTGCTGAGCTGGTTACTATGTTCGATCTGAAATTGGCGGAGGGTCCTGGGGAGGAGGAAGGCATGAGATGTTTTACCATCAGAAGCCAGAGGATTGGTAATCCAAAGGCCGAGATACTAGCACGCAGACGACACAAAGATGTGGATAGGCAAGGATAGCTCTGGTGCCAATTGGCTATTGTAAAATCTGCACGTGGGATTGCGCCATGGGTTACTGCTGACCCCATGTAAATTGGGTGTGTAGCTGCCATTCGGGTGGTTTGCTGTTCGGGTGATTTATCTAGAGGGGTCATAGTTCCAATATGACGGCAACGTCCTCGTGGTGTGCGTCGACACCAGGCTGTGTACATCTAAGGGGACAACAAAATCAAAAGACGTTATTTTGTATCGAAGATCAGATCCATCCTCCGCGTGGCATACTCTCAGATACTATTTGGCTACTTCGAATCAACGTGAACAATGTCTACTACAACATCGACAGAGAAAAGAGGTCAATGCTGCACACAGACGACTTGCATCGACGAGTCCCTTATCTTACCAATTGGCAGTTCAGACGTCAAAGACAATGACGCCAAGAGTCTTAAAGACATGAATATCTCCGAGATAAAAACCCCCAAAAACGGAGGCAAGTGGGCGACAAAGACGGTCACGATTACCGCCTTAACTTTAGGTCTTTGCCTGGTATCCTTTGCAGCAGCGGTGGACAACACGATCCTCGGTATATCTCACTAGAACCATTGTGTAAAAAGCAATTGATATGTAAATCAACTTGTCTTTCAAACCCCCATGAGATGTCCAACAAAGATCCGATCTGACGCCGATACGCATACACATAGGAACGGCCATACCGCGCATAACGACAGAGTTCGGCTCGCTTCAAGATGCCGGACTTTATCGTAGCGCATCTCTAGTCGCTTCGACGGCGCTTCAATTACCGTACGGCAAAGCATACGCCCAATTCAATGTCAAGTGGATCTATCTCGGTAGCCTGGTCGTCTTCGAAGCAGGGTCTGTCCTCTGTGCCGTTGCTCCCAACTCGGGGACCCTCATCGCCGGACGTGTTATCTCGGGCGTGGGTGCGGCGGCGCTTTATTCAGGCGCCATCAACATGGTTGCGATGACGGTAAGCCCGCATAGGGCCCCGGCACTTTTTGTTATTGTATCTGGTATGGTCGGTCTGGCGTCTCTGGTCGGTCCGCCCTTGGGGGGTGCCTTCACCGACGCACCGAAACTGACTTGGCGATGGTGCTTCTGGATAAACGTGCCGCTGGGCGGCGTCGCCGCCATATTCATTTTGGCCGTTTTTCGACCTCCTCAACGGCAGTCGTTGCTTCCGGCTCAGGCAGACACAGAAATGCAAACAGTTGGCGATGCACATGAAGGAGTTGAAGGCAAACGCCCACCAACAAGTGCCCCTCCTCGCTCATTAAACAACCGGGGTTTGACAGCAGCCTCAGCCGCAGTCCTTCCCATTATAAAGCGAATACAGAAGATGGATCCGTTGGGCACCGCTCTCCTTGTGCCGGCCATGGTCAGCCTGCTTCTGGCCCTCCAATGGGGCGGGACAAAATACAACTGGTCGGACGGGCGGGTCTGGGGCTGCCTGGTCTGTTCGGGCGTTCTCACAGCCGCCTTCGTCATCTCATTGCGATTCAACGGCGATGACGCCATGATCCCTCCCCGTCTTCTCCGCGATCGCGCGGTCGTGGGCGGCATGCTGCTAATAACTTGGCTTTCGGCGGCCATGTTCACCCACGTCTTCTTCCTGCCATTCTACTTCCAAGTCGTTCAGGGCATGAGCGCCACGGCCTCGGGCCTTCGCACCCTTGCCTATGTTGGGGCTATGGCCTTGGCCGGGGTGGGCGCCGGCGGCGCCATGTCTTCCCGGAGCAGCGACCGCGATGTCGGCTTGTCAGACCATAGGCCGTATGCCTGGGTCGGCGCCGGCCTCTTTGTGATCGGCGCGGGCTTGATGCACATGCTGACCGTCAGCTCGGGATTGGGCATGGTGGTGGGCTTTCAGTTGCTGTCAGGTGCCGCGCTGGGTGTCGTCTGGCAGGTTCCCTATGTCGCCGTTCAGCGGTCAGAGAAAATCGGCAAGCGACCGGATGACCGTGCCATTGCGAACGCGCTCATTGCCTTCTCAAACTCCCTGGGTGCGGCGCTAGGCATCTCTATCGCGCAGACCATATTTGCAACAACACTCGCTCAGGGGCTTGCGGACCTCCCGGGGTTAGATCCCAGCCATGCGGATGCTCTGGCAAAGGCCGGCCAGGCTGCCCAACTGGGTTTTCTTTCCCCAGAGCTTCTTGATGCTGTGTTGCAAATCTTTAACCACGCCATTACATCCACCTTTACTTTTGCTGCGACTGCTGCAGGAGTTGCCTTCTTATGTTGTTTTATATTCCCTTAGCGAATTGCCTCTTGGATTGTATTTCGGTGTTGTTGTGGAGACATACTGAACAGTGAAGAACGGGCTTTGAAGGGATGCCACCCCACGACCCTCGAAATAAGCAAGGCCTCGCAAGTCAGATATTACAGTTGGCTATCTAGTAATGTGTATTATGGTTAGCTATAATATTAACGTCTGGAAACAGAAGCTGGAGATTTACGCTCTAAGGAAAGTACCCTAGACTCTGACGCATCTTTCTTCCCTTCTAACTTTTTCTTCGTAGTTTGCTACCTAGAGGCGTACCTTATTAACTACTATATAACTCTCATAGGGAAATATTTAAGGGCTAGGATAGCTTATAGAGAAACCTCTATAGTTACTTATAGGGGTATATAAAGAGAACATAAATTACTAGGGGGTAGGTATCTCCCTCTTTATATTACTATAACTTATTATATTAAAATATTAAAATAATACTATATTTACTACTTCTATAATTACTACTTTAAAAATAATAATAGCTTTATTTAGTTTATTAGAGAAAAAGAGAATAATATCTATAAGTTTTAAAATAAATACTCTTTCCTTTAAAATTATAATAAATTTAAAGAAGTATTATTCTTCTATTATTTACTAATATATATTATCCTCTACTAATATAATTATTATAATCTATCTCTTTTTAAAATATTTAATAAGTTTAAAGATATTACTAAAATATTTAAAAATAATAAGATAATTAATAACTAATACTATAAAATAAACTAATTAAACTATTTAAAATAAGAGAATTTATTAATAGAACTTAAAGTAGTACTATAGTTTAATAGGGTAGTAATTAATAAGGGTAATTAGATATATAGGGGGTAGTTAGAGTAGGGGGGTCCTCTTATATATCCCTAGTTATATAAGTATTCACAAAAGAATTCTTTACAAAACGAGACTCTGACGCATAACTAAGGTCCATTTACCGCCGGACGGAGGCACAGCCTCAAGACTTAGTCAGGTTAGATGAAAGTCCCATGCAAACGCCGCTTCGTACGGTTCCCTCGGACTGGGTGTTGTGGTTTCTGGGTTGCCAGATACAGCAAAATCATCTGCGAGAGAAGGTCCGTGACAAGCCATGGTCTGATTGTGAAGGGTCAAGTCTCATAAACGCTTGGTCGTTGATTGCCAATAGATCATACAAATTTCCTACTAAACATGGCATCGCTATGAGTGGCCGTATTGGCGCATTAGCGCGGGATCATATTCCCTGCGAAATTCACTCAAATGCCCGGAGTTAACATTCGTGATTTTGGTTGTTTATGCCGGGATCAAAATCAATTTTCATATCCTTCACCCCTAAGGCATCTAGCGACAACGAATTACAACCCAAGAAACCGGGTAGTTCACCCGAAAGACTCAACATGATCCTTGATCCCGCTTCTTCAAATGACAAATAAAGCCCCTCTGCCTCGGGAACCAACTACCCGTGACTTTCCAAGGGCGGTTGAGATCGACGAGTGAGATTTCATAACTACGGATCAACGTTGCCACAATCTTGTAAACTTCTAGATGAGCGAGATTTCTCCCAATACAGACTCGCGACCCACCACCAAAGGTCAAGTCCGACGCGTTGTACAAACGTAGTCTTATCTTATAGGCTGCGTCGCTCTCATCTTCATTCTGCAACCAGCGCTCTGGCCGGTAGGTATCCGCATCGTCGCCCCAGATACTTTTGTTTCTACCAACAACATAGGGATTTATACCAACAGCTACGTTCGCCGGAACGTGGGTGCCATCCGGAAGGTCCAGGCCGCCGTCAGGCACATACCGCTCGAGTAACATGCAGACCCCAGGGTGCATCCGCATGGCCTCACGAATGACGGCTTCGAGGTCTGTGTAATGTTCATTAGCTTTGGTGCATGTATAAAGCTGTAAGTGGTTTACTGACATGGCAACGCGCGTGCTGAGCTGTACGAAGCAACATCAGACAGCTCTCCTGAGAGAATCTCTTGTTCCAAGCGTCGGTAAACGACGGGTTGATGAAGCGCGTGCCAAAAAGTTGCTCGAATGGTGATCGCAGTTGTGTCAGCGCCGGCGAGCAAGTTGACGAGAAGATACCCCATGATGATGCCATCGTTTACAAGTTCAGGGTGGGCCTGCTTAGATTCAATGAAGTGCTGCAGGAAGTCGGGAACGTCGGGGTCGTAATTAGGATCATTGCCCTGGAGGCGAGATACTAGGTGTTCGAGAGAAATGCGTGTAATGTTTGCTAGGTTCGGAGGGCCGATTCTCATAACAGGATTCTTGTCGAGAAGGAAGTCCAGAAACGGCATTTGTCCCACAGCGGCGAAGCTATTCACAAGTCAGTTTCTTGGTTGTTGCCAAAACACATTCAACGCACTAGTCAAGAGCTTTGTCGGCAATGGAAATTGTGCCGTCATAATCGCATCCCTCGTCCATGTAGCCAAATCGCTGGCTAAAAGAAGCAGCGCCATTCGCATCCCAAGAGTCTACTTTGTCTTAGCTCGGGTACTGCCACGCCAATCGAGTCAACTTACAAAACCCGATCCACTCGCCAAGATCACACGCTGTCGGCTTGGAGGTGGTCATGAATCGCTTTTCCAAGTGGTCACAAAAGTCACCGATCAAGGTATCAAATAGTGGCTCGATTCCCATGACGCTACTCTGGGAGTAGTACTTGACAATTGGACGCTTCATCCGTGCATGCTCAGCTTGGTCTGTGGTACTGAAGAGGTGGTAGGTAATTCTGCCGTCGATGATAGCGCTGTTATTGTGGTAAAACTCGGTCTTGCTCATGGTGTGAGCCAGAATGTTTGCCGGAAGCGGTAGGGGAACAACGCGTACCTTCTTCCATTTCCCATCCGTGCCATAGAGGGTCTTGATGAGCTCTGGAAAGTCGAGGTCCAGAGTATTTGGGCCGATGCGAACAACGGCTCCATACTTGTCGTGAAGCTCTTTGATCTTGACATGATAACTTCCTGATCGAACAACAGATAGTCGCCACAAATTTGTCCAGGCTGTGCGTGTTAAGAAACATTCGCGATAACTGATGATTGATGATATACGAACCAGCTAAACCTGGCCCAGGATATTGTCTAAGGGGGGAGGTGAAGTAGGCAGTCACCCACCACCCTACGATGGCCAAGATGGGAGCAACGACAATGGCACCGGCAAGGGCCGTCCCGTCCCAAGGTCGAAAAAGCCCAGCGGGGTAATTCAAGTAAGTCACGCCCATCTTTGTTTTCCCAACAAAACAGCGGGCGAAAGGAATATGAGATCCGGTAACTTCAAGCGTCCTCAATGCTGAGTCTTCAGTCCCGAGAAAAAGTTGTGGTTTACATGTCTTAAGGTGAGAAACCATTGATCTTTTCTTATAATTTATTGAAACAGTGCAATTGTTCACAGTGATTGACGTGAGCCTGATTGGCCGCCCGCTTGGCAAGGCAAGGATGAGATAATGGTGGGTCTATGTTGATGCGTTGGAACTTCTGTTCCCTTCCTCTGCCCTGGGGGCTGAAATCAGCCTCCGCTTAGATGTTGCCCTATGTTGGGACGGGGGTAGACTGGTAACCCGTTTAACCGCAGTCGCAAGCAAACTGCGATATCTATACTCAATTCGGTAATGCAAGTCCGAGATGTCCATATTTTTGCATGCACGTTGGGCATTTGAAGAGTTTCACTGCAAGATCAGCAGCTGAAAGACCAATTATTATTCGCTGTGCTTGCGGGCTAGGGCCGCATCTCGTACTTGGAATCTTACCGTTCGTTGGTATTCAAAAATGAAAGCTGTGTAATTGGCTGAACCCCCCCTAGAGATGGCGAGCAAGTCAGCCCGGGGTTTTTCGAATGCCTGTCAATTAGCGGGAGCCACTGCTGTGTTTTAGGCAAACGCAACGGTATGGATCAAGTCCGAGAAGTCTAGCATCGCGCTTTGGGTAATCCGAGGAGGCTTTGGCGATCATCTCGCCGAGCTCTGAGGGACCCTCAAAACTCATTCAGACTCGAAACATGCCTGCTAACGGTTCACCAAATCCGCTTCCCTTCACTGCCACTTGAAAACAAAACTGGTCTGACGTAATCTTGGCGACGGATGATTTCGACAAGACTTTATTTGAAGGCTCGCCCACAGCAGATGTCGCAGTGTTTCTACCTCTCTCGATCATATCTAAATATCCTCTGACATCTCCAACACCAACCCTCCCCTAACAATCTACGACTACTCTTCGCGTAGAATCCCGGTCAAGCGTGGCAAAAATGCCGTTGGGGGGTTCCGGTCCTTGGGCTATTGCAACTATGTGGCCTTTGACTGCATTGACGTTGGCCTTCGTGATTTTACGCACGTACACACGAGTGGTAATTGTCGAGGCTTACGGGGTAGACGACCATGTTTACAACCTCGCTTTTGTATGCTGCCTTTACGTCCGAATATTGCCCATTCGTGCTGACCTGTGTTACTGTGTTACAGGCGTTTCTCGTATTCTACACCATATTCACAACCATATCAGCAACTTATGGCTTTGGTCAAAGTATAGACGACAAATCTGATCCCGACAGCATTGTTGATGCAATTCTGTTCGAAGCGATAGGACAAACGTTTGCTGTCGTCGGCATGGCTATCGCAAAGTGGTCGTTGGGCCTGTTTCTTCTCCGCTTAGTAAACAAAGAATGGCACAAGATTGCAATTTGGATATCGATGGGCCTTCTCATGGGTGCATCCATCTCAACTTGCTTCGTCTTCTGGTTGCAGTGTACACCACCGCGGTATTTATGGGACCGTCGGATACCCGAAGGATACTGTCAGATTGACTCAACACCAGTTTCAATGCTCCTTTGTAGTAAGTCTTACCAGGGCAAACGTTCTTTCGGAGCGGCTTGTTGACGATATTCAGTCCTTTGCGTCGTCGTCGACTTCTTTTATGCGGTATTCCCATGGAGCTTCATATGGGGTTTGCAGATGAACACATGCGAAAAAATTGTCATTTTGGCTAGTCTTAGCCTTGGAGTATTGTGAGAGAACCATTCTTGTAAGACGCCTTGTCTAATCATGCTTTTAGCGCCGGCGCATGTGGAATCAAGCGAACGATCGAAGTGCCTGCACTTTCAAGTTCCGACTACCTGAGTAGATTCTCCTTACCACCTCCCTTCGCTATCGCGCTGCAGCAGTTACTAAAGGGTTGCAGAGGACACCGTGGGCCTTATTGTTTGGTCAGCTGCTGAGATAGCAGTCACAATGATCTGCATCGGCATCCCCGTCTGCCGGCCGCTTTACAAGCAGTACTTGGATAGATTGACCTCGTCAGATACCGGTCAATACCATGAACGCAGTCACGGCGGCTCATACGGTTTGAGAACATTCGGTGGGACAAGTATGCGACCTGGACTGGGCAGGGACGAGGCATCGGATGGGGTCGACTCCGTCACAAAGGCGGAACGAAAGACTGGGCTTGGCGGTCGTTTTTCGAGACCTTACTCCGTGGGCTCAAAGCCTGTGAGTGGGGACAATCAGAGTGATGAGTAGATCCTAGGCCCAGAGTTCCAACGAGGTTAAATGACCGCATAACAGCCAAAAGACGGGAACACGGCTGTCAACGGGCGGCCTCATTTCTCCCATGCAACACTCAAATCGATACTCTCTATCTTCCACAGCAAACATAAATTGATGTATTTCGGGGAGTCTAGCAAGCATTGCTCATCTTGTGCTCATGGTGGGGTCTTATCGCATGCCTGTTCCCTGGCCTTACCACGGACTGTGGAACGCCGGAGGGGACAAGGGTCCATAAGGTACGGAACCCCGGGGTGCGCCCCGACCCTAGAACATCAAGGATTCCGTCGCCCCAGTGCCGTATATCACATCTCGCAAAAAGATGAGGGGGGAATGGCGGGGAAGCAATCAGTGAATCCCCGACATGCCCCATTCGCTTGCGGAAGGAATGGGTTGGAGCACGCTTAGTCCACACGTTGTTACCCGCGCTACTTTGACCGCACTGCAAAGCATTTTCCAAAAACAGTCGATGATTTTGCGATATTTTTAAATTGTTTCCACACATACCGAGGGCCTGTTACTGCGGAACTTGAGAAAGGCTCACATTTACTGTGTCACCTGTTTTGCTGTCTTTCTAAGTCTTCACGGTCGGCGACAACACTTTGCCTGTGAAAATTTGTTTGGGCCGCCAAAGTGCGGGGCCTCTCTCCAGCATTGCCTCCCGCCAGTGCGCTAGTACACCTGCCGCACGTGAGAGACTAGCCATGGCGACAATAACGTCGGTCTCAAAGCCCATGGCAGTATACAGGAAGCACCCGTACAAGTCGGCGTTCGCTTTGAGGTTGCGGCTGGTAAAGTACTCGTCATCGTTTGCGACCCGGTCGATCTCCAATGCGACGGCCAGCATTGGATTCGACTCTACCTTATCTCTGTGCTGGTCGATCATCCGGTGGATGAGCTTTACGCGGGGGTCGACGGTTTTGTATATGCGATGCCCATATCCATAGAGACGTTGCTTGTTCGTTTTCACGGCCGTGATGAGACTGCACACCTCGTTGGGTGTTTTGATATTTTCGAACGTCTTGTATGCCAGATCGATGGCGCCGCCGTGCAGTGGTCCATATCCGGAAACAATTGCCGAAATACAACATGATAAAGGGTCCGTTAAAGTCGAAGCCGCGTGCAAGAATGCGGCTGTTGAGTTGGTCATTTCGTGGTCGGCGTAGAGAATCCATAGCTTTTCTAAGCACCTCTGGATCCCCACTTCAGGCAGAGCACTGCTTCGTTTGTCTCGGAACCCCATCATGCGTACGACATTCGCAACGAAGGAGTCGCTAGGGTGAGCTGGCGTTAGGTCTTTGCCTCGTTTGTGACAATAAACGAGTGCAACGACGGTAGCTAGCGCTGACATGCATCTAATAATGGCCGCGTCAACGTGGCCCGCACGTCCTAAGTAAGCCGGCCTAGCAGAACCCATTATGCTGATGGCCCCTTCATCCTGGCTTGCATAAGCCGCAATGCCAGCAATCATCATCGTGCTGGTTGACGAATCTCTGGAGAAAGAGGCAATGGTCCGAACCACATGTTCCGGCGGAACGCAGCTTGCCGCAAGCTTCCGTTGAAAATGCTCTTTCTCTGGTTTGTCGGGCAACTTCCCCCAGATAAGTAGATAAATTACTTCCTCATAGTCATGGTTCTCAAAGAGATACTCAATGGAAAACTGGCGGTATTGGATGTAGCCCCGCTGACCATCGATGAAGGTGATATTTGACTTGATGCAGGCCGTGTTGAGATAGCCAGGGTCAAAAACCCGCAAACCAGACTGGCTCTGATGAGAAGGGTCAACAATGCGCCCAACATCCACGGCATCGATAGCGTTCTGAGTGATGGGAATCAGATACTGGAGATCTGTGCGATTATCTCTCACCGTAAGGGTGCCAGATGACATGTCGGTGATGGGCTGCAAGAAACGTCCGGGAAGTTGTAGTGAAGTCCATGTATTGTTCCCGAGACGTGATAGGATGTGTAGTCCAGCAGTCACAATGCTGAGAGACTGCATGGCCACTTGACGGACACAGAGAAAAACCATTGTGGTTATCATCTTGCCAACGTACCGAGCAAAATCTAAGTAACCAGAGATGTTCTTGCCCATTCTGAAGGCAATGCCCAGTATCTGCAAAAGGTACGACAGCAAGCATATCGTGGTAGCTCTGGATGCCATGATCTTTCTTGTTCGATATCAATGAATTGAAAGAAAGTTGTACCTTAAACTGTTCCGGCATGCAATCCAGCGCACCTGTTGATATAACCAATTTCTTCCGCCGACCCCCAAGTCGGCTCTTGGTAATCTGATTTATGAGTCCGCCTTCTAAGAAAGAATGTACGCAGACTCTGCGCAAGGAAGCACGAGAATGCATCATATCGCCACCGTTTTGGAAGACTGTATGTGGTATTGCGTACGACGTGGATCAAATACGTCGTACGATGCGTTGGCATGCACTCACACCTTCTCATTGAGGACAGGTCTGGCCAGACGGCCGCATGATAGGTACACTTAAATGGCGCAAGACGAGACTTCGAGCTGGGTGCAGCACATAGTTGTCAGACCATCTTGCACGCGAGATTCCGAAAAAACAAATTTTGTCTAGGGGCGCAGTCCATTGGCCGATGCCTAAAGTCGTGATTGGAGCGCAAAACGTTGAGGACATGAGACTCCACGCATGTGCGTCTTGAAATCGCCGCCCACCTTCACCACAGACCCTCCGAGATCAATGTTGATCAGACGCAGCACTGTGATGTACGGTGAAGTTCTGACCTCTGATTACGCCAGGCTTTATGCCGTGATTCATTGGTATTCCTTCCGACGGCGATCAGCCGACACTTACTCGTCAGTGCCGAAGCTACTATGACACGGTTATCGCAAATATGAAAACTCAGAGTCAGTATAGAACCCAAAATTGGAGAAGCAAACAATGACTAAGAGACTAAGGTTTGGGGCGTTCCTCGCATTACTGGGTGTATCCACCATGCCCCCCTCGGGCCGTTTTGAAGATCCCGTAAGCTGAATGAATCAATTGATTTCACCCGAACTGTATGTTACGGCGATATTCAAGAAGGTTACGGGGTTTGAGATTTACACGACATCAATGATCACCTATTGGGCTTTGTGCAGTTATTCTCTGTATTGGACCTCCCGAATTCTACTCACTGTGATCCATCCATCTCAAGACACAGATCGCCCATACCCAATATGAACACTTTACAAACACCAACATTTCGGTATCGAATGATGCTGTTAGCAGCAAGATTTCGGATGTGTTGCGAACTGCGGGGATTTCGTCAACTTCTGGGGCTGCAATGGCTGCTTTTCTAGCTGGTACCTTGGCCGCTTTATCGATTGTCAAGTTTCTATGGCGAATTGGCCGACGTCCAACAATGGATGTCCCGTTGGCTTCATTACCAGATGCTGCACTTTACGACTTTGGACGACTTTTATCGAAAGGCTACTTTGAGAACCCCCAAGGCCCTTACAAAATCGTCGGGCCAAAGTCAGACCTCGTTCTGCTGCCAGCATCCTACGCCAATGATCTGGCAGCGCAACCAAGCAACAAGCTCAGCTTTGGAGCCGCGATTCATGACTTTTGGGTCTCAAGACACACAACATGGCGGTACTATCTAGACGACGACACAGGCCGGCAGACGCTGATGGGGAGCCTGAAACGAGACGGTGCGCACATTATCCCTGTGTTGGATGAAGAGATCAGCCTAGCAATGGACAACTGGGAACAGCGGGGGTTCCAAGCAATCAACAAAACTCTGGAAACAAGGAAACAACTTCATGATGGGTGGACTTCATTAGAAATCAACCCATCGTTTCGGCCTCTTGTCAATCAGGCGTTCGGTCGTGTTTTGGTCGACGCACCATTGTGCCGGGATCCAGGCTGGCTTGACCATGCCAATGGCTTAGGCCTCAAAATGATGTTGGCGGCGCGTGATCTACGCACAATTCCTGATTGTTTGCGGCCTCTGGCGAAACAGTTTCTACCGACTTATCGTTCGCTCATGACAGCTAGAAGAGAGCTAGTGTCTCGAGTTGGCCCTCTTGTCCAGAGACGATTAGCCTCCAGGAATATGCACGACGACCGGCACCATGATATGATTGAATATCAGTTGAATCACTCCGCCGGGTGGCGAGGGGTCGATATTAACTTTCAGACAGGTCAGATCTTCGACAACGTTTTTGCTGGTGATAGTACGTTTTCCCGTTCATCTAATATCCGATTGAGAGGTGACGAATATGCAAACTAATATGGTGTGCTGCTTCTAGATCAGATAGTCAACGCGGTAAGGCTAACGCAATTATAAACAACGGGCCACGCAGTAATTGAGAGTGAATACTGACCTTGTGCAAATTTGCAGTTGATGCAATGTATCTACGACCTTGCAACCTACCCAGAATATCAAAAGTCGCTTCGTGAGGAAATACGAACGGTGCTCTTCAACGGCGCCACGTTGTCACTCCAAAACATAGGGATGCTACGAAAAGTAGACAGCTTCATGAAGGAGGTTCTTCGATTGAGCCCAGGAACCCTAGGTAAGTCAGAAGATTCAGTCGCCTAATTTGCAGAGACTTTCTGCCAATACCGATTCTATTCTGAGCTAATCACACCTGAAAAATACAGTGGTCATGGCTCGCAAGGCCCTAGTTGAAGTTAAGTTGTCAGATGAACTCACTATTCCCCGTGGAGTTACAGTGGCAATGCCTTCATATGCGCTCAACCAAGATCCCAACATATACGGACCTGACGCGACTGAATTCAAACCCTTCCGGTTCTTAGATGTTCCAGACGTGCCGTCTTCATCGTTGGCATTTGAGTCCGTCTCGGGGCCAGGACTGGACTTCGGACGTGGCAAAGCTTCATGCCCCGGTCGATACATTGCCTTGTGGACAATGAAGGTTATCCTGGCTCGTTTCATCCAGAGATATGAAGTCAGACTGCAGGACGGTGCGCAGCGCCCAGTCAATATTGAAGCTGGTGTGCACAAGATCGCAAATCTCGGAGGAAATATTATGATTCGACTGGCACCATGAGTATGATATTTCTTGCATATGATGCATAGGACTCCTGTTGTAGCAAGCTACCTGGTGCATATGAGTTAAGTGATTTGATATTTCCGGAAAGTAATACATTATAGCGATGTTGTTGCACGCGCCAACTTGCAGATTGCTGTGGAAATCTGCTCAACTTGGGTTTCCTCCGCAGGAACCTTGTGTTCGTTGTTAAACTCAAACAATGTGACCGCATCATTTTCAAAGCATCCAATCAACCGTCTGCTTTCTGCTTGCCATTGGTCTTTTGTTCCAACCACCGCTACGGTGGGCGTCGAGATGGAAGCTGCATGAGGAATCTTGGACACCTCTGAGAGCGGCAAGGGCATCCCAGTGCCGTTGATAAGGATGCCAAACTTGAAGTGTAACCATACTGGAGTTGCCATTTTCTCATTCTCCTGTGCGGCGAGAATCCCAGCGACCACGCCGGCTGAAGAAGAGAATCCGAGAATGCCAGCAAAAGTGTTTTTACCGCCTCCATCGATGTTTGAATCAACATCGCCAAATTCGTACCGCAGGTCATCAATAGCGTCAATGACACCCCTGCCACGCTCGAGTCTTTCATCAATATCGCAGCGCTGGCTCTCATCGTCTTGTTCGCAGAAATCTGGGCTCCAACGATAGAAAGGTCCACAGTCGTCGAAGAAGGGTGAAACACCGTATCCTGGTGCACATTCGAACGGACCGGTCACGTAGACCAAATCGATGCCCTGAAGATCTAGTGCGCGGCGTAAATGACGTGTCTGTGCTGCGAAGATCGTGGCATTGGTACCGTCACCGTGGAGGCAGAGAATACGTATCCGGGATGGCATAGTGTATTCGTCGGATGGTTTTCTTCTTCTTTCCGTATGGTGGGCGTATCGCCATATGTAAATAGCGCCAATTTCTCGTACCTATCTCATGGACATACTTTTATGTTCTGGTTGCGGCCAGTATTTAGTTCGCTTTCCTCCTTGTCTGAACCCCCATTGGGCTAACAGTTCATATCATCGGGCTGAATCTAGAACGCACAGCCAGCGAAGTTTCGTGCGACACAACCGCCCGATGTGTATTAAAATGGCCCGATGGCTTATAATTATAGTGTTGGATGGCAGTCATATAACAATGTCGCCAAATGAAACAACCGAAAAGCGTTGTGTCATGCACGAAGAGAACGCAGCCCCAGACGTCCGATAGCTCATTCCTAGCCGATCGCGTCTCACAGCTGTTGCACAACCCAACTAAGAAATGCACTGCGAAACACAATGAATTGTAGAAGGTTGAGGGATTATCACTTCACTCACGGAAGACCACTAGACTACTCAAAACTACCCGAAGACCGTGAAACACTTCAGAGAAGACATGCAAACACTCATGCACCTCAAGCGCTCTACCGGGCAGAAAATTCAACATTTAGTGGAGAATCTACCAAGAGAGTGACGTATTCCCGTGTTCTAATCATTCGGTCTCGAATAGCTGTTGGGCGGAAGTTGTGAACAATGGTGGCGATTGCTAGGCGTTGTGTCGCGAGGGTTAAGCTGAATTTGAGTCAGAAGAGTCAACGGAGAGATGGTGCATCACCTGTTTTATCGTACTTTTGCCCTATGCATTGCCTAGTTCCTCTTGAGAACGGTTGAAGATGGGCTTCCATCTCGCTGGTGTTGCTTGTAAGTAGCCAACGCGATGGATCATATCGCTCAGGACTCGGAAACACAGTCTGGTTGTAGCATCCGTAATACGCGGAAGTGGCAACGACGGACTGTTTGGGATTTCGCAAGGTCAGCGATGCTCATCGTTGGAACTGCGCCTGTTCGCTTACCCCTGCCGGTAACCATGTGTCCTGATACATCCATCCACCCTTGGGCACGATTCGAGGCATGTGACCACGAATCGGACAAGAAATTCGCAAGCCTTCCTTCAATACCGCATTGAGGAGTGGTAGTTGGGCAAGACTTTCAAGTCGAGGACAGCCGTCAGACATCGTCATCACAGGTTTCAGTTCGTCCTGTAGTTCAGCCCAAAGATCAGCACGCCTGGCGAGATGATGAATTCCGACGGACAAAGCGGCAGCGGTGGTGTCGGCGCCTATTTGATCAGCATTGGGTCTGGTTAGCCTATGTAAATTTGGACAATCTCAGTGAACTATCATAGGTCATGTTGATCCTTTGCCAAATGTTTTTTTCATTCAAATCAAATGGAAACCTCACCAGCCGCGAGGATGACAATGCCATCAGAAATAATCTGGCCATCTGAAGGCTTGAAGCCCCGCTTTTGCTGCCATGCCTCTGATGCAAGGTTGCTGAAAACAGAGCCGTCGACGTCTGAGTCAGTTGCCTCGGTCCTTCTTCTCCTTGTGGCTTCGAGAGCCTGCTGGGCATACTTCATATTATCAGCATCACCATCGCCGAGACGTTGAGAATCATTGTCTAGACGCTTGACGGCTCTGAAGTACATGAATCAAATGGAAAGCGATCCTTACTTGACCAAGCAGCTTATTTGGGACCAGTTTAGGTACCAGAGGCGCTATGTATGGTATGAGGCGCCGTAAAAAAGGAATGTGCTGAAACTTTGAGTCCATCACCATTAGTAACCGGGGTCTCTCCGTGATCAAAGAAGAAGTTCACGGAAATATTTTCTTACGAATATTACACTTTCTGCTGCCACATCGAAGACTTCAAACAAGTCTGAATGGAAGCCATTCAGGCTATTGGCACATTGACCAAACGTCCAATCCGTCACCACGTCCAGTGACAAACTGCGGAACATCTTTGTCAAGCATATCTCAGCGGTTTTGGGGTGCTTGGGCTTCTCGTCATTCGAATCGACCTGCCCCATATTGCGATTTATTGCTTCAATCATTAGACAGCATTTCTCCCAAAGCATATTTTGCGCTTCTGTGATCCGGGCGTGAGAAAAGGCTGGAGCTACTAGACGAAGATGCGCAGCGTGGACTTCGGGATCCAGTTCTGTGAAAATGCTGTACGCCTTGGAACTTTGAAATGCTTTGTAATGGTAGTGTGGCTTTAGCCACGGATTCGTCTGAGAATATATGATGTTGTTTGCTGTGACGTCGTCGATGGAGACCTCATTGGGCGAGATGCGGACAAGAGGGCCTGCATCATGTCAGACAGAACATTCTCTCATAGCTTGGAAATGTCTGGGGAGCCGTGATCTCACCAAACTTTGCATGTAAGTCCCGGATATGGTGGTGTGGATTCCCAGAGTAATCCCAATAGAACAGCCAAAGCCGGCTAAGCTTTGCGGCGAAGGGTCCTGGAATACCTTTGAGGGGATGGAGAAAGATGTTGTAGAAGCTTAGACATCCTGCGTACAAGGCTAGGCTCCCACACAATAACAGCGCGAGAGTTTTTAGGGTGTGGGTAATCATAGTGATGAGATTGTTGTGTTGATCCTGTGTTGACCTGTGTTATCTCAGGTTTAGAACAATTACAACCCAATTATAGCCAGGAAAGCTGATTTCATAGTGATGTGACAGAGGTCTCGTTGATTCAGTTGCAATTGCCCATTTCCAGGTGCCTTTCACCCTTGTTGGGGGCGGGGGAAAGGTTCCGATTTCTGCGGTGGCTTATTGGCGTGCGTCGAAATGACCCGCGTCTTTCGAGTCCCCACCTAAAATGTGCACCGGGTGATAATCGCAACGTCTGTTTATTTAGCGACCACGTGCTTTCTTTACCGACTACGAAAGGACCAGACGTATCATTGTCTGGAATCCATACTTGGGTTAGGCTCAATCTTATTACTTGTTAAGTCTGAGTGAATAGCATCCTGAGAAAAGTAACCCTAAGTCACAGTACACCGCTCTTACTGTTCTCCATTACAACCATCCACCCTTTCAGTCAACATGTTTACTCCACACTCAATGAGTGGTACTAGTGAGCACGAAACCAACAAGATGTATGATGGCTCACAATTTCCTGTTCATGATATGAATGGAGACAAGCGCAAGGATAGCATTGCCATCGTCGGTATTGGATGTCGCTTGCCTGGGAATGTGTCGAGTCCCTCCCAGCTATGGGATTTGCTGAGCGAACCGGTTGATCTCTCGGCACCTATTCCTCCATCCCGGTTCAGCGCGTCTGGATTCTACCACGAGGATGCCGCACACCACGGCACGACTAACACTCAACGCTCGTATTTCCTCGATGACCAGGATATCCAAACTTTCGATGCGGCATTCTTCAACATCGGACCCCGAGAAGCTGAGGCTATGGACCCCCAGGCATGTAACAACCTTGCTTCGGAGATGCGTTCTTCACAGACCTTGAGGGTACTTGAGCTAATCTAAGCATAGCATCGCTTGTTGCTTGAAGTAGTCTATGAGGGTTTAGAAGATGCTGGAATACCCCTCCAAGCAACTTCAGGAAGTTCGACTGCTGCGTACGTAGGTCTTATGTCAACCGATTGGCAGGATTTGCAGCTTCGCGACATCGATGGCGCTCCACGTTATCTTGTGACTGGGGGAGCTCGAAGTATTGCGAGTAATCGCCTTTCTTACTTTTTCAACTGGCACGGCCCAAGCGAAACCATTGATACTGCCTGTTCCTCGTCACTCGTTGCTCTCCACCACGCGGTCCACGCGCTGCGGTCTGGGGAGGCGAGTATGGCTGTTGCGGCAGGAACAAATTTGTTGCTAGCTCCTGATATGTACGTCATGACGAGCAACTTAAACAGTAGGTCGGACTTACGCCTTTCGATATTTGAATGTTTGATGGCCAATCTAATCATTATTTTGCAGTGCTTTCTCCGACTGGCAAATGCCAGATGTGGTCATCGGCGGCCGATGGGTACTCACGCGGAGAGGGTGTCGCCTGTGTTATCCTCAAGACAGTGCCACAAGCTTTGCATGACGGAGATCGCATTTATGCTGTTGTGCGTGAAACTGGCGTCAACCAGGATGGACGTACAACTGGAATCACAATGCCCAGTTCCACAGCGCAAACCGAGTTAATACGAGAGACATATGCCAAAGCGGGGCTTGATCTGCGAAAAGCGGAAGACCGATGCCAATTCTTTGAAGCTCATGGAACGGGAACGCCAGCTGGTGACCCGATAGAAGCCCAAGCCATCTGGGACGCCTTCTTTACCACCCCAACAAATCAATCCGCGCCCCCGGAGCAGCTCTACGTCGGTTCAGTAAAGACCGTTGTAGGTCACCTTGAAGGCTGTGCCGGACTCGCAGGGGTTATCAAAGCATGTCTTGGGCTTCACCAGGGGTTCATCCCGTCGAATCTCCACCTGGGAACACCGAATCCTAAGATTGCGCCGATGCTCGGCCCGGGTAAGCTCTTGGTGCCAACAGAACACTTACCGTGGCCAGAACCTGTAAAGTCTACAGATCCTGCCATACAGATTCCACGTCGTGCTTCTGTAAACTCTTTTGGGTTCGGCGGCACAAATGCACATGCAATCTTGGAGTCATTCGATGCCATTGCGTCAAAGGGCACTGTTCACAAAGCACCGAAGACCACGAAACAACCACCAGTGAATATCGTCATTTCTGCTGCGAAAGAGCCCAGCCTTGCATCTCTTGTATCGAGGTATGCCGACTATCTTGAAGCTCATCCCGATTTGAACCTCGACAGCCTTGCTTGGACTACTCAGAAGCGCCGGACTCGCCTGGAATATGGGATATCGTTCACTGGCAGCTCGCGGTCGATTCTGGTGAAACAGATGCGTACGTCTGTCAAGGCATACCACGATGGGAGTCACATCGGGGTTTCCTCCACAACATGGAACTCTGGCTCTGAAGGCCCGGAAATTCTGGGCGTGTTTACAGGCCAGGGTGCCCAATGGGCTACGATGGGGGCCAAGCTTCTCGATGCATGCCCGGCCTTCGCGCAATCTATTGCCCGACTAGAAAATGCATTATTTGACACCATGGCTGTTGAGGAAGAACTCTCTGGCAGTAGCAAATGGTCTCTCAGTACGGAGCTTCGAGCTCCAATCGGCGAATCTCGCATTGCTGAGGCTGAATTTGCGCAGCCTTTGTCTACTGCAGTACAGGTTGCACTGGTCGATACTCTACGATCCGTAGGCGTCAACTTCTCGGCTGTTATCGGCCACAGCTCGGGTGAGCTTGCAGCAGCCTACACTGTTGGTTGCATATCAGCAGCCGATGCCATTCGAATGGCGTATTACCGAGGACGTTTTTCCAAACTCGCTCGCAGTCCACATGATACTGATGGAGACCAAGGAGGGAAAGGCGGTATGCTTGCAGCTGGCATCTCATGGGATGATGCTCAAATTCTTTGCTCCGACAGCCAGCTCGGGTTCCGCGACCATGTCTGTGTGGCAGCCAACAACGCTCCGAGTAGTGTCACACTCAGTGGCGACTTACACAAGCTGAGAGAGATGCAGACCTTGCTCAGGGATCGCAATGTTCCAGTTCAGATGCTAAGGGTTGACAAAGCCTACCACTCACCTCACATGAGAGTTTCTGGTGATGCCTATCGTGAGGCACTCTCGAGATGTCGGCTTGATGGGCCGCAGCCAACGTCTAACAGACCAACTTGTGTCTGGATATCTAGCGTGCATACGGATTGGGAGCCGATCTCGAACGCCAACCTGCACAATCTTCCCCAGTCATTGAACTCGGCCCAGTACTGGGTGGAGAATATGCTAGCTCCGGTTCGTTTTCGGGACGCCCTCGAAAGACTTGCAAAGTTGAAGAAAGTCCGGGCAGGTTTGGAGGTTGGCCCTCATCCAGCGCTTCGACGACAGGTAGTAGATACCTTGACCGTTTCCATTGGAGAGTTGGCCTATCGCGGTACTCTCGCCCGCGGCGTGGATGAACGGGATAGCTTGTCCAGCGTCTATGGCTTTCTGTGGGAGAGGGGAATCAATATCGACTTTGACGCGACGTCCGTCTCAAGCAACAAAAGCCAAGTTCCACTTGCTGGCTTGCCAACCATGGCATGGCTACATGATCGCGTTTATTGGCGCGAGTCGGCTCGCCTGTCACAGCTTCTCCGTCGGGAGCCGTCATCTCCACTCATTGGTCACTGTATAGATCAGGGGTTAAGGTATGACAGTTCGTACACCGGCGCTGTCCGAAAGTCCGCGGAATCGGTGAGATTGGGAGAGTGGCGATGGCGCCAGATAATTCGCGTCAATGAGATTCCGTGGCTTCGCGGGCACAAAGTGCAAGGCCAGATAGTATTCCCAGCCGCTGGGTACTGTGTTATGGCCATGGATGCCACCAGCGACCTTATCAAAATCTTGTGTCACGAATCATCGACGCAAACCAGCTCTGACCTGGAGCTGGATGTTATCGAGCTTCAAGATGTGGAATTCGGACGAGCTGTGATGCTTTCCGAAAAGAACACAGAGGGTATTGACATCCTGATACGGCTACACGACATTGTGCTGGATGGAATCAAGGATGCCAGTCAGACCAAATCTACTGTGCTAAAACACAGTTCAACGATACAAGCTTCGTTCTCGATTCAAGCCCAACTTCCCGCCGTTGGAGCGCCTGCTCGATTAAATGAGCCTTACGTTGCCTGTCACGGCCATCTCGTGGCAAATTTACGACTCCCATCGTCATCTGTTTTCACCAGCGGCATGCCGCCGTATCATGACGACCCTGTCCATCTCCATACCATATCAACAACTTCGATATATGACTCGTATAAGGTTGTTGGTCTTGAGTATACTGCTCCATTCCAAGTGGATTCCTTGCGGCGATGCTTAGGTCGAGCGAAGTCCACTGTCCGGCACGCGAATGTCACGCTCACAAATGCCGGACCTCATGATCACAGAATTGGAGAAGCAAGGGGGGAACATACACCGAAAACAAAAGAGGTCAGCTCATGCTTCCCAGTGGCCGCCCTCGACAATGCATTTCAAACATCACTGGCGGCATTTGCTTCGCCCGGGGATGGAAGACTGTTGGCACCGTATCTTCCTCGAACTATTGGCCGATTACGGGTTCAACTCTCAGCGTACCGTGCATTCATGGCCAATGAATCTGAATTCCTTTTCGATGCTACAATTAAAGGGCGCAGCATTCGTGAGGAGTTGAGACGAGTGTCGGAAGGAAACACGCTCGCATCTTGGACTGCGACCGTTGAAGGTTTGGCTTTCGATCCCCCACCCGGCGTCGATCCACGGCCGGGCAATAATCAACGTCAACATCGCATGATATTCCAGGTAGAGGATCTTCGGTGTGTCAACCTAGTTCCTTCACATGGTTCGTATCAGGAAGGCATCTTTTGCGAAGAAATATGGGCTCCTGACCCAGACGACGCCTTACGGGATTTTCAACTGGAGTCAGACGCTCTTGGAGATCTTGAGGGCCTTGAAACTGTCGAAGAATTGGCACATTATTATATGTGCAATGTCTACGAAAGTTTCACTGTGGCTGAGGCATTCAATGAGACGAGGACCCCCTGGTTCATCCGACGATTCTGGGATTGGCTTCATCACCGTCTCGAAGGTCCTGGCGGCGGCCCCCATTCTAACTTTGTCAACCCGTGGGCAAGTGATCCAGCGCGCCGCTCTTCCCTCATGCGCCGGGTTGACCGAATCAAACATCGCGTTGAAGTCCAAATACTCGAAGCAGTTGCCGCAAACATACTGAGAGTCATGCGACAAGAAGATGGTCCGACAATTCTGGAAGTACTATTCCGAAATGACATGCTTGCACGTTTATACGTCGAGCCAGCTATGTACGCGCGGGCCAACCGGTATCTCGGTCGAGTGGCAAGTCTCATTGCCCATCGTTTTCCACGATGTGACATTCTCGAGGTATGTATGAATCATTCAAATTATTTCTGGCGGTCATACTGACGGAGACTCTCAGGTTGGAGCCGGAACTGGAGGTGCCACTCAGGCTATGTTTACGGGGCTTGGGGGCGCATACGGCTCATACACGTTTACCGATATATCCAGCGGTTTCTTTCCTCAAGCCAAGATCAAGTTCGCAGACGAGGTTCGCCGGATGATATTCAAAACTCTGGATATCGAGACGGACGTTGTGGATCAAGCATTGACGCCGGCCACATATGACATAATCGTTGCCTCAAATGTTCTGCATGCTACAAGGGACATTGAAGCATCACTGAAGAATGTGCGGAAGCTCTTGAAGCCAGGTGGCTTTCTTCTGCTACTTGAAGTCACATCAGTCGACAAAGTCCTCGTACCGTATCTAATGGGCGCGGTTCCGGGCTGGTGGTATTTTGAAGACCGGTGGCGAAAGGACACATTCAGCCCCTTGTTGACAACGGAAAGGTGGCACGAGGTACTCCAAGCCTCCGGTTTCCAGACTGGTACGGAGCACATATTCCGAGATATGAAACACCCGGAAGACCATCTATCCAGTGTAATGGTGGCTCGAGCAACAGACGAAGACTGGATGGCATTCCGAAAGTGCGTTCCAACATCAACCGCCGAATTCTCTGCGAATAGTCTTGTCATTGTCAAAGGCAAGGAAGAAAACGCCATCAGCCATGGCATGGCTCTTGAGTTAAAGACAAGAATCCTCGGCGTGTGCGGTGATCGCGTTACAGTCACGATTGTAGACGGGCTACAAACGGCTGCTGCCAGCTCGCTACTTCCCAGCAGCATGGTTATCGTCCTCTCGGACATCGAGAGCCCGTTGCTAGGTAGCCCTACGTCCGCTGACTGGGAGGCCTTGAAAATTGTTTTCAGCGGCACCTCTCACGATATCTTCTGGGTTACCAGTGGGCGTGTGCATGGGCGGGATCCCAATCAAAACATGATTGTTGGGCTCGGCCGCTGCGCCAGATACGAAAACCCGGGTCTCAGGCTTCGCTTCATTGATGTGGATGACTGCACCTCTTCTGATGCAATCCAGCTTATCTCCAGAATTGTCTGGCAAACGGGGTTCTTGTCGTCGAAGGATGCATCCGATGTCGACTCAAGAAATGCCTCTTGGACGAACTCTGCAGAGTTTGAAATGGCAATCGAATGTGGCCGTCTGCTTCTGCCACGCCTGGTGCCACTTGACATATCCAATCAGCGTTACATTGTCCGTCGGGATGGGGTCGTACATGATGAAGAGCCCAACAACTCGTGTCTCACAGTGCTAGGCGCAGTCGAAAACTTTCTCACATACCATCCAGATGCAGTTTCAAGCTCCCGCCCTGTTCCTGAGTCTGGCGGTTCTCTGGCTCAATTGACACCGCCTTTATCCACAGAACGCGAATGCTTTCCAGTAGCCAGTTCAAGTCATCGTCTTTCTCTGACACATTCACGCTGTGTTCAGTTTTATGCGACGGGAGATGATCAATTCTACGTCTCCCTAGGTCAACCTAACGTAACGGCACTCGGAGATCCAGAGAAATCCATCATCCTTACCCCTAGGCGTCCGAAAGAACACCTTCACAGCTCGGAATGTGCTTTGAAAATTCCTCTTCGATATGAAGGCCTTGAACCCTTCACACTAATCGATCAGGACGTCGTGTTTCTGTCGGTTCTAAGAGACACCATTGCAGCAGGAACGTTGTGCCGACTGGCGGTGGAGGCATTCCCTGCTTCAGCAGCGATAATGGTCGTCGAGCCCAATTACGCTTTCGAGGTTGCAATTTCAGAACTTGCTCAGGAACATAACATGAGGCTGTACGTGGTCACCGCACGGGAAACAATGGCAAGGGTACTACCCGGACGTTGTGGAATCGCCTCTTACATTCACCCATGTGTTTCAACTCAACGACTGAGGTCCCTTCTCCGCAGAGAAACATCCGGTATCTATGTCGATTGGGCATCTATCCGAAACCCAGATGTTGCTTCCGGAATCAACTCAGACAAACCTCACTTTCTTCTTCCGAATGGATGGTTCGAAGTTTTAGAAGCACAACCCGTCGACGACAAGTTGCCCCGGCTGAAGTCGTCAAAGCCTGAAATTGCTACAATGTTGACGGATATGAATTCCGATCAACCATATTCCATCGTTGACCACAGTATATCCTTGGCCTCTCGAATTGTACAACTTCATCTGCAGACTTCATCGGACGACATCTGTCAGTTGAAAACGCCAACGCGCGTGGCATTTTCCGACGCGACCATCGACCTACTAGCCAAAGATCCGCAAATTTTGGACTGGTCACTGGCTGGAGGAGATGAAAGTCCTACGGGCCAACTCAGTAATGCGCTTCTTCCCAATCCAGCATGTCTTTTCAGCCCCAAGAAAACGTACCTCTTTGCTGGAATCACAAGCGATCTAGGATTGTCGGTTGCGAAGTGGATGGTTCAGAACGGTGCGCGATCTGTGGCACTTGCAAGTCGAGCGCCCAATATTCCAAAAGTGTGGCTTGAAGAAATGAAGAGCCTGGGAGCAACCGACGTGCGTTCTTTCTCCATGGATGTCACCGACGCCAACTCAGTCAAAGACGTCTGTGATTGTATTCGAGACTCTATGTACCCTGTGGCTGGGGTCGTCTTCGGGGCCATGGTTCTCAACGACAATTTGTTAGAAAACATGTCGTTCCAGACACTTCAGGCAACAATGGCCCCAAAGGTCAGAGGAACTTACTTGGTCGAGCAGTACTTCCACGACACCGACTTGGACTTTTTCATCTTCATGTCCAGCATGTCCGCGATCGTTGGAATCAGAGGCCAGTCCAACTACTGCGCTGGCAATATGTATGGCCGCGCTGTTGTCGCCGATCGCCGCGCTAGAGGGTTAGCTGCATCGACTGTCGATCTCTCAACAGTTTTCGGCGTTGGTTATTTCGCTAATGCAGGAGCATCGAGCCTGCAGACAGTTCACGCGAACCTACGTGGATTCAACACACTAGCCATCGGAGAAGGAGATGTCTTGGATGCCTTCCATGAGGCCATTTTGAGAGGGCCACCAAACGCATCCGCTACTGGTGACGTGATTGTTGGTCTCGGGTCCGAAACTGCTGTCGCAATCGATCAGCCTCCTGTATCGGCAGCATGGCACAAAGATCCTAGGTTCGGGCATTTCACAGCCCGTGCGGGTCAGAAATTTGATGATCGGGCCGCAGGTGGGTCTGCGGGCGGCACCTCCGACATGGCCAAGAATGTACGCGAGAAATTATCGAAAACGACCACTGACGAGGAGCGACTGGCGACCTTGAGCAGCTGCTTCTCTGCGCAGATACAAGACACAATGCAACTTTCAAGCTCGTCACTGCGCGCAGATGTACCCCTGATGGATCTTGGGATTGATTCACTGGTTGCCGTTGATCTAAGAGCGTGGTTTTTCAAAGAGTTGGAAGTGACTGTGCCTGTCTTGAGCATCTTGAACGGCGAGAGTGTCAGAGATCTCTGCAAAGTTGTTTTATCCCAAGTTTGAATAGTTCGTTTGGTAGAGAACTAGTTGACAGCTCGAAATTGCAAACACCAGCCTAACCAGTGTCACTTCAACGTTGGATATGAAGAATGAGCGATCACGGGATTGATAAAGCCTTTAATAGGCAGTAACGTGTTAATCAAATGGTGCCGTTTGAACTCTTACTCTGTTTCGCGCGTCAGCGTTCATTCACAAATAGGTTTGCGTCACTTGTTCAATTTAACCATAAACACCATCGTGTCATAAGATGAACTGTTCATTGTTCCAACTCAGTTCCAACTCAGATTGCGGCTTTGAGAGACTCGATAGCATTAGCAGCGCAAGCTTTGCACTCCCTAGCCGCATCAGACGCATCCAAGTTTCTGTTGCCTGGGCCACAGCCCTCGTTACTGGCAAGCCCTACGTGCGATTTATCACCTGGTAGAGGATCCCGAGTTGCTTAACATGCATGAATCTGATTGTTTTCTTGCCCAACGTCATTTCAACGGCCCTTTTGAGTCACAGGCTTGAACCGTATCATCAGTGGTCGTTTTTCCCAAACACCGTAAATCTTCAAAGTTTGCATCCAATCAATACTCTCTGGCATCAGTTCCAAATCAAACTCCACAAGAATCTTAGCGAGCAATGTACGAACTTCAGCATACGCCAAATGTCTCCCTATGCAGTTCCGTGGTCCAGTGGAGAACGGCTTCAAAACGCCCTTTGCATCATGCTCGTACATTGGTTCCTTGTTCTGGACATTCCATCTCTCTGGCCGGAATGACACAGATTCTGCGAAATGCTCCGGCCACCGATATGCAGCCAGTTGATTTACGAATACCTGTGTATTCCCTGGAACGAAGTTCCCGCAGATAAAATGACCTTCAGGCGGAGTGGCGCGTGGGAGGGTTGTCGGAACTGGAGGAAACAAACGAAGCGTTTCTTCGATAACGCCATGGAGGTAAGGGAGGTGACGATCAGTAGTGGTGGTCATGCCGATCCTTGCTGGATCGGCTCCAAATGCCTCTCGGACCTCTGCAGTGACAGTTTCAAGCGCAGGCTTATTCTTGCAAAGTAGATACGTCGCACCGGATAATGTCATTGCTGTTGTCTCGGCACCCGCCATGAGGAGATTGGACGATGTCATGAGCATCTCATCATAGGAGATGCCTGTCGGGGTATTGAGATTGCGAATGACATGCTCCATGAAATCGCTGCGTGGTTCTTTCCGCTCCAGTCGACGGTTCAGCTTTTCTATGAGCATAAGTCGATGTTTGTTTTTCTTCAAGGGCAGTTTATCAGACGTCATGACGATGAGCAACAGCTTGTCAAGACGGAAGAAATCTCGCATGAATCCGAGAAGGAACATAGCTTTCACAATGTAATACAAATTCTCAATCCATTTCTGTCGTTACTAAGTTAGCATTCCACCATAAACCGATCATTTGCGGTTTTGCTTTGGAACTTGACTCACGTGAAGGTCGCGTGCATCATCGTTCATGCAGCCAATATCTTCGCCATACGTGAGATCTCCAACAATGTCGAAAGTGGTAAGTTGATACCACCTCATCATATTGATCGGCTTGTGGTCATCACTTGATCGCCGAATTCTTGCGACAAGCTTTTCGAAATATCCTCCTATGATATTCTCTTGGTCACGCAAAGCCTTGTCAGAGAATCCGTGTGAAAAGTTTCGCCTCAGCCGTCCATGAGCATTGTCATCCTTGACAAATACCAACCCTTGGGCTCCGTTAGGAGGGCTTGTCGGCACGAATTCCTTGGCCTTTTTCAATTGTTTCCGCCCATCGTGTCGACCATGGATATCCTCCCAGGCTCTTTCATCAATGTAAGATACCGCAGACGGCCCCAAACGAACGACGGGGCCATACTTGGTATGTAAATCTGCAACCTTAAATGCAAACTCCCCACGCAAAGCGTAGAATGTCTGCACAAGACAGGTGGTTGCCCAGAGCTTCGGACCCGGGTAATGAGCAAGGGGGTGGAGAGTGATGCGGTAGATCCATACAAGGCACCAGTAGATAACAATGAGTATGGCAGCAATTTTCAGTATTGATTGGTAGTCGATGTGGCCCAACTGAGCATGTTCAGTTTGCCTCAGGGCAGCTGAGATACTGCTTGGCATTGGTGCAGACATTAGCGTGTGGGTTTGGATGGTGGCAGTCTTGATTGGGGTCAATTATTGCTGGGGTTTCATGACAGCAGCTCCTTGAACCGTAACATATCTAATTAGTTGAGCACACTTGTTACGTCCGCGCCATCGGCGTTGAAAGTCAAGGAGCACCATCGGTTCTGTTCCGGATCAATAACCTCGTAGCAAAAATTGTCACGACAATTACCCGATAGACCCGTAGTGAGCTCGGGCATTTGCGGTGTCGCCGCCGCGGAAATTCGCCCGAACTTTGCGCTGGTTGCACTATCTACCGACACAATAATGCAGCGATGTAATACATGTTTAAGCTACTTCATGATATGTGTAAATGAAAATCAATTACCCGAAAGCGCCCGCGATGGATTCATCAAACAAACACGTACAGGCAGATATCTCGTAGGGGCTGTCTGAGCCTAATGTAACTATTGCAGGATCTTAAGTAAGATTCATCGTTTCCTTTCAAGCTGAAGTTGATTTATGTCTTGGTTACTTCATCTGGTCTCCAAACCGTCACAGCCACAGCCACAGCAATATCCAAGGAAACATACTCGTGATGCCTGCCCAGCCGGTCCCCGTGAGAATCCTCCTTATCGGTGCGTCCGGCTACATAGGTGGCTCAATTCTTTCTCACTTGAGGTCAGTATCAAACGCTGCGTCCCTTCGGATCTCTGCACTTGTACGATCGCCTTCAGCTGTCGAAACCATTGCAACTTCATATCCGGAGGTTCATGCACTCCTCGGCGACCTCAGCAATGAGAAGCTTCTCTATGATGCTGCTGCGGTGTCAGACATAATTATATATGCTGCACGAAACACCCAGGAGGGCATCAGATCTCTTGTGGCCGGTCTTGCCGCGACAAAGGCAGCAGATGGGCATGATGAGCAGCATAACGTGGGGCGGCGCCCAACCCTCTTCATCATGCTGAGTGCCATCATCTCTCTGGCAGATCCTAAGAATCTTCGACTTGGAGAGCCTCCGAACGGAAGATCAGTGAGCGATGTCGCGGATCTCGACACAATTATGGCACTCCCTACTCACCATTGGCACGTGGCACAAGAAAGAGCTTTTCTTCAACTTGTCGCCGCAGAAGGCAAAGGAAATATCAATGCGGTTATTATGGGTCTTCCGTTCGCCGTGGGAAATGGAACAGGGCCAGTGCGAACGAGGGGGTTCGTGCACAACTACGTTGACGCTGTCCTATGCCGGCAAGACAGGGGTCCGTTTATGATGGGAAATGGGCGCAACGCTTGGAGCTGGGGATCTCCTCAAGACCTGGCATCAGCTGTTTGTTTTATTGTCGATCGATGGAAAAGAGATGAGTCGAGACAAAGCCTTGGTGGATACTTCTTTGTCGAGGCAGGGCAACTCGAGATGGGAGAGTTAGCACGTCACGCAGGGAGCACCATTCAATCAGCTCAATCTGCCGTGGATGGGGTAGATAGTGGAATCTTCAGAAGTATGGAGTGCGAGTCACTGCAGTATCCCCAATTTGCCGAGCTTATGCCTGAACTACCGGGACTTTGGGGCGTTAGTGCGCAGTGTCGAGCTGATAGACTGAGGAATATGGGATGGGCACCGAATCACACGGAATGGAAATCACTAGTGGAAGACTGTGTCATGGCAAGACTATGTCACTGAGGTATTCTAAGAAGCAATGGAGTATTCTGCAACTGAGTTTACGACAGCACATGCACAATAAGTGATAGGTTTCAAGATGCCAACATATCACGAGGGGGTATCATGTCACATGAAATGTATGAGATCAATACATGTTCTTCAAATGTCTGTCAAGGTACTCTCTAGGCACACTACTGGCTTGGTAATGTTCCAATAGACCCCTCAACGAACGAACCCCCTGCAGTCATCCATTAGGAAGACTCGCCTGCCGATCCAGAAAAGAAGTGGGAAACAGGGGAAACGAAACCCAACCAAAAAAGGGCACTATGACATACAGGCCAGCTTTCCTCCTTATAATCCCAGCGCATCATGGTTTACTAAGTCGCATGATTTAAGAATTCTCATTGCGAGCTTTGCAATTGGAGTTGGCGCGAGGATCTCGAAAATAGACAGATCGACATGGAATTCCCGGTTGATCCAATTTCGCATCTCCGTCGCCTTTAGAGAATCGACTGTGATAACTGTTAACAGTGGGAAAGATCGCTAGTGGAGGCAGCTGGTGCCTCGGATGGAACTTACTCCCATAAGCTCCCAAACTCTTTGCCTCGTCCACTCCTTCAATATCTAGCGTCATGGCTTGAGCCAGTTTTGCTTTCAAAAGATCCTCTACCACGAGCCTGCCCGAGCTCAAGTCCTTTGCCAAAGCAAGGGCCTCTTTGGCTCTTGGCAAGCTCGCTTTCGGGACCTGGTCACCTTCCCACCCCGCATTGTCTCTCCATACAGCTCGATGGTCGAATTTACGATCCAAAGACCAATAGTTCAAAAGCTCTCTCGATCGCCTGATTCGGGACGATATGCCCACTACCAATTGTGGGGGAATTTGCAACGGACAAGGCGTCAACGCCGTATTCTGCTTATTAGATGCAGCAATGGCCATCTTGACGCTTGCTAGCACCTCAGCAGTGTTGACCACAACAGGAGCCAGGTGTCCAAAAACGCGTAGATATTCGTCAATGTTTTGGAAAGATGACATAGTTCCCGTTCCAAAGTGACTAGAGTCCGAAACAAGCCCTATGTTGAGGCTGACGGCAGCCATTCCATTGGCACGGCGGTGGTGAGCGAGGACGTCTTCAAATGTATTGCCGGCGCAGTAGTTTCCCTGAGCGCTGTTCCCAATTACGCCCGAGACAGAAGAGAGCAAGATGAAGAAGTCCAGGTCCTCAATATTATTTTCGGATGCAGAACTTCCTTCGGTCATAAAACGCTGAAGGTTGTGGAGATTCCAGCTTCCCTGGATTTTGGGAGCCGTAGCTTTCTGCCAGTTCTCAAATGTCATATTCGCAAACGTGCTGTCTGCGAGAACCATTGCAGACTGAATAATTCCTTTCAAGGGTGGCCTTGAACTTTCGCTGAATTCGGATCCCAGTCGTTTCATGTCCTCCATAGAGGTGATGTCGCATGCCACAACGTCGACATTGCAACCGTTTCTCTCCAGGTTCATCAGTGCAGCCAAAACTTCAGAAGACTTCGCTTTTCCAGACCTAGAGAGAAGCATCAAATGTCTTGCCCCCAATTCATAAAGCATGTTGGCCGTGTGCAGACCCAGAGACCCAAGCCCACCTGAAATAATATAGGTTGCGTTATTATCCAGCATCGTTGCATTGTCGATTTTGTCAGATGGTGATGCTGACGTCTTCCTGTGCATCAGGACCTCATCTGAATGTCCTAACGAGACCGCAATCTTGGCATCTTCTTGTTCTGTCCCGTGTGTGGTAGACTCGAAAATCATTGCAAGGTCATTAGCGTTGCTGGTTGATGCCTGTCTCAATGCGTCGGGCAGCGTGAGGGTGCCGGTCTCAACCCAAGTCGAAACTCTAGAGATAGCCATTCTATACTCGTCTGAGGCAGAATTATCCCATAATTGGAGGTCGAATTTGTAAATTTGAGAGCTTTTGGGGCGTCGGTTGTCTGGACAGTCTTCCTGCTTTCTTGGGTCAAGTTGGATGAGACAACCATCGGAAGATAAGGTGCTTATCAGCATGTCGAGGGTTTCCTTCGTTCTGGTGGTAGAAACCACAGCCTTCACTCCATTCGCGAGAGACTGCAGATACCTAATCGTTGCTCGGTTAAGGCAAGAAATCCGTGAAACGATGACTTCTTCCGGCCCATCTGAATAAGCATTTTGGTCGGCTTGCTCTGTGAGTCTTCCTCTTCTGATTATGAGTGCTTTCCTGGCACGAAGGCGATGTGCTACCATGGCGAAAGCCCGTTCAAGCGTCTGGTTTCCCCCCACGTCGATGACAACATAGTCACCTTGAGAGACGATTCCTATCACTGAGAGAATGTGATATGCCGTGGAAATCGGTCCCAACCAGTAAGCAGCGGCTGCGGGTGCCTTTGCAACAGACTTGGGCAGCTTTACCAGCTTTCTGACGTCATGGATCGACCCAGGCTGGATTGGTTGGGGGGTAGTATTCAGCACCCAGTCACCAGTGCTATAGTCTGTTCGACTCGAATGAACTTCGTACAAGCCCGTGATGACGCCCAGCGTGTGAAACGCCATGGGGACTTCAAAGCCATTCTCAATTTGTCGTTTTGGGCAGGTGCCAGGGTTGACGACGAAATGGGACGTCCTGATTATTGCCGAGGTTCTTTTCTGCAAGCCAGTCAATGGACTATTTTCTCTCGCATTCTCCGTGGCACGTTCCGGAAGAACCCAGTACCCTAGCCGAGATTCACCGATCGTCTGCGACCAGAGATGTGGACTTTGAAGCCGCACTGATTCCAGATCATTGAATGATCCCCGGAAGGTTGGAAGGAGAAGATTTCCATCTTGACTTGATGTCTCCAATAAAACGTAATTATCGGCTTCTGTGTGTGCCATGATCCTAGGTATGAAGAGACAGCCCCTCTGTTCGATGTACTCAGATTCGTAGGTTTCGAAGTGAGTTTCCGAGCTGTAGAAGGTCTCTTCGCCCACTCTACTCAAACGTAACGTCTCTAAGATGGCTTCCACTATAGATTCTGGTGTGTCAGAACATGTGACTTCTGACACATCCAAATGGACCAACACCAGTTGTGGGTACTCTGCTCTGAGCGCTCTTAGCAGCCCCACGGTTGGCGAGTAAAGGAGGCTTCTTTCCGAATACGGGCACAAGAGACCACCTGTTGTAAGCCAGAGAATGTTTGACGCCGAGTCTACCAATTGTTGGAAGTCTGCGAAGTCCTGATGACCCCAATCATAAACGAACGGCTGTCCCAGCTCTAACAACGAGATAATTATCTTGTCTTTGAACTGGTCGCGGAATGCTATTGCTTGTCTCAGAGTTGCGCGAGAGATGCGGAAGCCCGTTGA